CGCAGGCTGGAGTTGCAGTGGCAAGGATCTCATCTCATTGTAAACTCTACATCCCAGGGTTCAAGCAATTCTGCCTTGCCTCCAGATCCTCCTGAGTATGCTGGGATTACTAGTCACCTGCACAAGGGCGCCGGGCTAGATTTTTTCGTATTGTTTTAGTGGACGATGGCGGGTTTCCCATGGTTAGGCCAGGCGCTGGTCTTGAACTGGCCTCAGAAGTGAGTACTGCCTCACCATCCGCAGGCGTGAGCCACTTTTTACCCAGCCATTAAGAGTAATCTCTTAGAAAAGAATATTGGCAATGGCATAAAGCAGAATGTTTATGATAGTCTAATATTAAGTTAAAGAAAGCAAGGATACAAAGTTACATATCAATTAGTGAGTTCATATATGTAAAGCCACGTAGTGGTTCAACAAAGAGGAAAACATCAAAAATTGATAACATTGAGACGTACATTTCCATGTCTCTATAGGCTCGTTTCATATGTTTGTAAGTTCTCTTGACAGGTGAGTGTTGTTTCCTTTATGTAAATCACTTAAAAAAAAAGAAAAAAAGACTAGTCCCCAAAACTCACTTGAGGGGAACATAATAAAGTTTACAAGACAATCTCTATGGGAGCTTCCCTCAATTGCCCCACAACGAGGGTCTCCCATGAAACCTGGGTCCTCTCCAAATGCACCTCCAAATTGGTTGATCTTCCCAAAACCTTTTTAATTGCTGTTAAAACCGTTGTCTCATGACGTGTGTCTCCTAAGAGGATTCCGATTACCTCCCCAAATCTGCTGGTTCTCGCTGAGCAGTCTTGCCATTGGAACTCAAAATACCGCTTAATGTCTCATCTACCCATCCAGCCAGTGACGAAGAGCCCTTGGGGCAAGCGCACCGAGGCAGGGCCCACAGCCCAGGCCCGAAGCTTGACTCCAGAGGCAAGGGGACGCTCGGACTGAGGGTAAAGAGAGTTTGGTTCCTTAGACCGGGTTCCCCCTCCAGCTCAGCATCTGCACACCCGTGATGGGACCAGAGCGGGGACAGAGAGTATTTTGCGACAGAAGTTTTCAAATCCGGGTTCCTTCTTGTGTTGCTTTTCTTCATTTTTTTTTTTTTTTTTTTTTTGGGCAGCGACAGTCTCTCTTTGTCACCCAGGCGAGAGTGGCAGCGGCGGCAGGCGCGATCTCGGCTCACTGCAACCTCCGCCTCCCGGGTTCAAGCGATTCTCCTGCCTCAGCCTCCCCAGTAGCTGGGACTACAGGCACCGCGCCACCACACCCAGCTAATCTTTTGTATTTTAGTAGAGACGGGGTCTCACCATGTTGGCCTGGCTGGTTTTGAACTCCTGAGCTTAGGCAATCCGCCCGCCTCAGCCTCCCAAAGTGCTGGGATTACAGGCCTGAGCCATTGCAACCGGCCCCGTTTTCTTTATTTTAAAATTGATTGGTTCTTAAACAATTTAAAATTGATTGGTTCTTAAACAATTCAGAGGCTAACTTTCAAGTGCAGCCTCTGAATTATTTAATATATTTCTTCCTCTTGAAATTCTCGAGATAGATTTTTTTATTATCTTCTCTCTCTAAATGCTTATCCATTTAAATACGCACCACCATGTAAGAGACTTACTACATTCATTAGCTGTTTCAAAATCCACTTCCCGTTCTCGGGCTCTACACCACCCACTGACCCTTTCCCTCATGGCCTGAGTGTGACAAAGCGTTTGAGTGGGCACCGTGCAGGTGTAGGTTTTCTGCCCGAGTACCGACGTGGCTTCCTAGGTCATCTAGAACTCCCGCGCGGTGGGCGGGGGCAAGTAGGCGCACT